CTATGGACTTTGGACTTTGGACTTTGGACTTTCGATTTTGAAATTATATTATTTTTTTAGATTTTCGTATAATTATATTAAAATCTAAACAGAGAACGAAAATTTGCTTCTGAAAAGCGTGCTACACTGCATGCACATGCATGATATAATAATATACAAGGTAAAAAATCTCTAGTATCAGTTATATAGGTATACCAGCAGTGCAATTTCATACGGATATAGCCTGTAGGATAGCAGGATTATCCAATATTTTGGGATTTAATATTTACATTTTATATAACATTTGTATTTATAGTATGCATATAGTACAGTATATACTGCAGAACTTCTTCTTTATCATATAGATAATAGATTAATTGTCAGAAACAATTGTGACAAAAGTGTCTCGGCAAATACAAAATATTAACTATACAAGTGATTATTATCGCGCCTGTTGAGTATTGAGTATTGTGACTGTTCATCTTTGCATAATAGTTTATACTAGTACTGCAGTATTGTGTAATTGTTTACTCCGTTACACAGTAACGTTTTGTTAATGTTACTTATTTTTGAAAGACATTCTAGTTAGCTATCCATATCACTATAAGACTAAGTGCTTCAGTTATTATTACAGTAATTTGAAGTGTTAGTAGATGGACAGGAATATTCGACTAACGGAAATTTACACACTTTTTAAGACCTACTCAGTTGTGTGTGAGAAGGCAAAAATCTATGTCTATGTGCTTCAGGTAGTCTAGCAACTATTTGCCACGTTTACTGTAATACTACCCCACTTGCAAGTGATGAACCATGCGGGAATCGCAATCGTAGTATAAAGATTAATGCTCAGCCGCATAACGTACGCAAAAGAGCCATATATAGACAATAATATAGACATAAATATATACATAAAGTAATACTAATTACTATATATTATCATAAAGTAATCAGTACTACCAATTATATAATAATGTATCATACATTCGTATTTTATAAAGTATGATGACTATGAGAGTTTTCGTGTTCACTATGGCTGAATACATTTATTAAAAGCTAAAACTGACACAGACAAAATACATTGTAAACACAGCCTATTTGGGCAGGCGTTAAACCGGTGTAAACTATTATGCAAAGATGAACAATACCGTCATTAGTATTTTTGCGCAAGTGAATAAATAGTACAACAAATCCTACAAGTTGTCAAGTTGATTGGTCAAATTTGACAAATTCCCTAGCCTCCTTCGCAGACATCAGAGAGAACGTACACAACTCGGGCGCCTGCGAGGGAGACTACAAATTCCCGGATAATCACGGCCTCGCCTTCGGCGAATAATTATTCAAAGCCAAAGGCGCAATAATAATCGCGTGTAGTTTATACTTATACGTGATAGTTTCTCAATATTTTGTATTTGCCAAGCTACTTTTGTCGCAATTGTTTCTATAAATCTATTATATATACGATAAAGAAGAAGTTCTGCAGTATAAACTGTACTATACATACTCTAAATACAAATATTATAATAAAATTTAAATAATTAACTTAAAAATATTACTGAGATGATCCTGTTATCCCATAGGCTATATCTATGAAATTGCACTGGTATACCTATATAACTGACAGTATTTTTTACCTTGAATATTGTATCATGCACAAATTTTCGTTTTCTGTTTAGATTTTAATTAATATAATTATACGAATATTTAAAAAATATAATTTCAAAATCGAAAGTCCAAAGTCCAAAGTCCATAGTCCAAAGTCCGAAGTCCATAGTCCAAAGTCCAAAGTCCAGTCCAGTGTTCACAATATGCCCGCTAATTATTGAAAACGTAGAGAATTGTAACATTGATTAAAATGTTGTAAATTTGTTTATAATATAGCATTTGTAAATTCTGAACGCTGATTGGCTAAGAGCCGTGTTGATATAACTCAATGTCAACACGGGAAATTTTCCGCCGCTTGTAAAAACGGAATTTTCTTATCCTTCGGGCTTTTGACATTGCTATATTATAAAAAAATATAAAACATTTTTTCCGTATTGATATATAGTTATATCAACACTCGTGGAAGTTGGGAAAACTCGAAATTGTATGAAAACACTCCGCCCTTCGGGCGTCGTGTTTCCATACAATTTCTCGTTTTCCCAATTCCACTCGTGTTGATATAACTGTATCTCAACACGGAAAATGTTTTATATTTGTTAAATAATTTCTATTTAATGAACTGTCAATAAAATTTCAGTAAGTATTAAGGTCATATAGTATATAGTACATGTATATAGTATATAGTATAGTGTCTATAGTGACAAAGTCATAGCCGGAGACTGAATTCGTTGAAACGGCTGTAGCTAAATAAAAATCTCAGGTTTTAGCACAAATGCGTCCAGTCCATAGTCCAGTCCAAAATCCAGTCCAAAATCCAGTCCAAAATCCAGTCCAAAATCCGGTCCAAAATCCAGTCCAGTCCAATCCATAGTCCAGTCCAGTCCATAGTCCAGTCCAGGTTTTAGCACATGCCGTGGCAAAGTAGCCGATAAAAACGTCAATTAAAGTTTACTTCGACGTGACATGCTGACGTTGTACATGTTAATTTAGCACCAAATATGGTGCTAAATCAAATCAGTAAAAAGATACAAAATGGTAAGCTGTTAAACATGGAATCTGGAATCTTGGAATTTTGAAATCCTAGAATCATGGAATCTTTGAATGTAACCGCAAAATATGTCTCGAAATATGTTATTATCAAGATATTATTATTATACTTATGCAACATATTGTTGTGCATGTGATAATTTAATATTTGGTGAGTTAGCAGCAGCAGACCTTGGTAATATATTATATATACTGTAGCGACTAGCTACGTTGCAGAATTTAATATCTGCATCTTGCCATGTTAATACATAATAATGTAAACGCTGTGTATACACTGTAAATTTCAGGGAGTAAAAATTGCCCCATGTATGGGGTAACATGTTTTCCAATGAACGCCCCGATTTTTTCGGGCGATTTTTACCTCTCTCAAATGGGGTAATTTTTACACCACTCTTAAGGAGTAATTTTTACCCCATATAAAAATAGGTGTAATTTGTACACCACTCTTACGGGAGTAATTTTTACCCCATAGTTTTCTATGGGGTAAAAATTACTCCCGTGAGAGAGGTGTAAAAATTACCCGTATTTTTATAGGGATAATTTTTGCACCACTGTTACGGGAGTAATTTTTACCCCATAAAAAGTAGGGGTAATTTTTTCTCCCCAAAACAACACTGCAAGGGAAGCAAATTAGCATGTGCAAATGATGCGCATGCATTACTTACACGAATCGCCTTAACACAACATAATAAACATATCACTCAAATAACAATCAATAAATGCTATATTTGAGAAATTCATAAGTGAATTGATTATTACTTAATTAAAATACATCTAATACAATATAATCATGTAGTCAAATACATGCAGTGCAATTAATAAACCATGTATACATGCAGTATAAAAGATTTAACAATACCGGTCGCAACAATTTAAAAAGGAACCAAGATACAAATATTGAAAATTTCATGTGTGGATTAAAACAAGGCTTTATTTCAGGTATTCATGCATAAATGAAAAAAATTAAAACATTAATACCAGCTTATGTCGTGTCGTGAATGGTCACCATGCACGCTTGCCTTTCAAGCTAGAACCTGGATTCAATCCTTGGTTGGACCACTATATATACTTAAGGGCTTGCAATAATTAGGGAGAAAGATCTACCTTTACATTGATATCAGTAGGTACCTCGGATTCCCTATCAATGGGGCAGAAATTTATTATATAGCCTATATACAGCTATACTCAATGAATATATATCTTGGTTTTCACAATATGTTTATCTTCTGTTAGCTTATCAAAGCTATATAGCAACGTGCATCGGTGCATGCATAAAACAATCTCACAACTATATATCGAACATCTTGAATGTACAGAATCACGCATGAAGCTAGCTGTGACATGAAATTTTGCAGTGAAATTGTTTTCGCCGCAGCATCTTTAATGCCACATAAAATGATATCAATGGACAAGAAAACGTCTTTCCATTTTGGAGGGTAAGAGTCTAAGAGATGTTAAAAACACAGTAGGCAGCGTGGAGTGTGAGGAGGGCGCTGCAAGGGTGCTGCATGTCAATTGTCATGGCATCTCCAAACTTAACAATATTTTCTCCTTCAGTGCAGATGAATGCAAAGTTCAAGTTATATTTCGTCCCCTGCTCCAAGGACCATTTTAAGGGAACTTGGACGATCTGTGCAGAGTCTGGATCATCCTAAAATGTTAAATGGATTATAAAATTTTTTAAGTTGAACAGCGAAATGGAATAAATGGCTATAAGCAATTTTTAAACTGTGGGACCAGTTAGTCGTAAGTGATGACAGCATTCCAATTAAGTCAAGGCTTGGAACAGGACTAACAATTTTAATGTAGGTCAAATATGGATGGTTATTCACATTCCGGGTATATTTAGATGCTGTAAACCCACAACCCGCTTGGTTAACATAATACAGAGGTAAAGATACCCGGTTCCCATTCACGGGTAGTAAAATAGAATTCATCATGCGAGCTCCATTAGGGTACCCGTAAACGGGGGACGGGGTATCTTAACCTTTAATATATAGGTACACTCGTAAAATCAATTACGGAATAGTCATAATTCGAAAATCCCCTACACTTGAGAAAAATAGGTAGTATTACTGCTGAACAAGCTGCTTGGAATGCTGTATATCAACGGAAGAGAATAATATATAATTCAGTTAATAAATGACGTCAGAATTGTTGCTATGACAATACCGATTTGTTGCATTGCACTCTACTTGAATAAACGCCTGGTTACTCCCATTTCTTATTTCATAAAACATTTTCCTGTAGCCTGAATAGACGATCTGCATGAACAAGCCGAATTTTAGAAAATTAACAATAATGTTTGTTTATAATATTTTGTTTGTGGAATAAAAAATAAAAAATAACCATCACCATCATGATAATTATACAATCATGAATTTTTCACATTTTTAAAAGTTAAAGGACCATCTTAATTGAGAAACTTTAGTAATAAGATAATAAACAATATATAATTTTAGGTTTGTGGAAACACCACGTAAACAGTGTGTGGGAATTCCGGTACATTTGGGTTTTTTGACAGCTTAAAGTCTTTAATTGACTTTACATGTGTTTGCTAACTGAACTTGTTGTAAACTTGCCTAAATTATTTTTGTTTATTTCCTTCCCATTAGGTGTAGAATATTTCATCTATTTTATACTTTTGAGCATAATTTTATTCCCACGAGGATTTTCCACATGCATCATTTTGCCTGTTTGGCATGCAACAGAACCTACGAGGAACTAAAATTGTAACCTTCGCAAGGCGCGCCGCCTCACGTTCTGTTTCAGGTCGAGACAACCCAAAACTTCAGCACCGCACAAAATTTATTCCAAGGTGGATTCTAGTTGCTCTTAATTAAATTGAAATTGTTCTAATTAAATTGAAATTTCTCCACTCGCAAGGCGGGTCACCTCAACGTTCTGTTTCAAGTCGTGTCAACTCGAAACTTCAGCACGTGCATGAAGAAATATTTCAACTCAAATTTAAACAATTACATGCGAAAAAAAGTAATTTGATTTTTGATGAGATACACTACACAAAATGGTCAGGAAGACGGAGGAGATTGACTTGTGACTTCAATATATCCGCTGTCAGTGTACAAAGTCTATACATAAGTGTACAAAACCGCCTATTCCCTTGCTAGGGAAGGTATATATTCATATATATATATATATATATATATATATATATATATATATATATATATATATATATATATATATATATATATATATATATATATATATATATATATAGAATTAACAGAATTAGCACTATATATATATATTGTCTGGCATTATCTTGAATTATTATTAATTATTATTATGATTTATTATTATTATCTTGAATTCAGGCGTACGTAATTTGAAATGTTTGATAATTTTGCACTGAAAACATGCCCTAATTATAGCATAATTTAAGCAATAAATTCTCAGATTAAACCGAAAAAATTATTTGTCATACACTGTAGTTCACCTTAAGATGTTTTCTGATATTTATAAAGGTCTAGGGTGGAATTCTTGAATTCTACCTATAGATATTAATATGAATTTTTAGCATAAATAACAGCTGCACTTAAATTGCATTAATCTATTCAAACACTGATCATGCACGATTAAATTACATTTCTGAATATTTTGAAAAAAATAGGTATTCTAATATTATTAACAAATTTCACATGGTGTTTTACAGAAAGGTGAATTAGGAGAACTGTTAAGACTGAAGAGTTTCAACATATCAAGAACGCATTAAATGCAAAATAGCACCGAACGTAGCGCTGTTGTTGATCAA